CGACTTCACATCTCCTACACCGATACCCTCATCGCCTTGGCAGCTCCTGACTATTCTATCCATGTACAACGCAAACAGGACAGGGGACAGGACGCAGCCTTGGCGGAGACCAGTGCGAACGTTGAATGGTTTCGACTTAACGACACAGCACCTGCTATCAAAATTCGGTGATTGGATAGTGCGTAGCAACTGGCCATCGATCCTAAATGTTCGCAGGCATGCCCATAGATTCTTGCGCTGGATCCGGTTGTAGGTTTTCTCTATGTCAAGAAGGATGAATTTCCAATCGAGACATGCTGCGAAATGAAAAAACAAGAAGACAGACCGGAATGCGGAAAGAAGTGTCAGTTTCACGCGACCGAAGGATGATCGATGGGCTTCGACAATGACTGATTGGTACCCAAGGGGTGGCAAGCGCCCAGTTTAAGGCTCGACCTCGACTTAAACATGAAGATAAACTGAAAAAGAGATGGAATTTTGTGGAGAGGATTCACATGAGATAGACGAGCTTGTGCATCGAGACCAGGCCACGGCGATCTTCATTAATCACAAAAAAGATCGATTATTGTTGCTGTTGAAACAGTGTTGTTCGTTTTGCGTGAACTGCTACTCCGTGAAGTCACTGGAAACCGTCATTCGTTGTTTGATGTTAGAAAACATGATTTGCTTTGGCTCTTCATTCTGTTACCATTATTCTTCACTGATAGCTTGGCTTCTTTAGAAAGCTAATTTTTTAATAAAAACAGTATCACAGGGAACAAGAGCAACAACACAATAACGCCTATTTAAAAAGTTTCATGTCGTCATAGATTCTTGAAGTAGGCAAAACACGTTTGAAATTCATTATCAGCGTGATGACATGTGAAAGAGTAAGTAGGCAGATAATGAAAAAGAAGCATAATACCTTAACTTATTACCGTACAACTACAACATCATGATACAAACATTGGATGGAGGCCAGAAATGCACTCAGCTTCATCAACTCACAAACGATGACAGACGGTCGAGCACAGTACAGCGAAAAGTGCGAGGGTGTCTTGATCATGATCGTGATCAACTTCGAAACGGAAGCCATTCAGTGTGAGGCTCCTAAACTCCCTGCAGAGCGTTCCTCGCTTGCAACCGCTTCTCTTTTCTTTTCCAGCGAGTATGGCGATTTTTCCTCTTCGATGAAAACAACTTCCGCGTGACTGTGGTTTATCCCGTAGCCAAAGTACAGTAAGAATCCTGAAGATTATGGTTCATAATTACAGAAAGCATGAAGGTTGCAGACGGAAAAGAATAGTGAAGTTTAATTTGTAATTACTGATAACTGATAGGGTAATTCTGTTTGTCACATGACATGTTTTATCTTAAGAAGAAAACGAGCTTGCTGACACAAGAAGCAGATGTCGACCACGTCCTGTTTTTGGACTTCAAACTGGTATTTTGGATGTACACAACAACGAGATAAATTTCCATGTTTTCAAATAATTTGTTAGGCAAAATACTTCTATAACTTTGCAAAACGATAGGGCGCATTTAAAAACGCATATCAGTGTGAAGCATGGTGCTACACTTCGATATGAACGTAACATATTGTATGGTCTGGGAACCTTTTGAGTCTGGAACAGGTTTCATAATAGCAGTAAACATGGGAGAAGCATAACCTTAGAGGCAAATGCCATTTTCGATATCCCTCTCGAAACAAAATTTCTCTACAGTACAAAATTTGATCCACAAGTTTGTAAAGGTTCGAAAATACATTCCTGAAAATTGGGAGGTGAAACTATTCTTATTCTTCAACTGCATTATTAACTGCAATAAGTGTTTTCATTCAAGACAGTTAGTCTAAGACAGATTTAACAGCTAAATAAACATCTTACCGGCAATTAAGCAGATAATTAAGCGAATCCACGTGGCAGGTGCGAGATGAAGCAGCAACACCGAATTAACAAAGTTGCTTACAACAGGTATGATGGGAACGAACGGTACCTTAAACATGAAAGTACTCGTTACCATTAGTTCACTGCGGATTCTAATGATTTTATGGCACTTTAAAATGCCAAAAAATTGTTTTCTAAAAAAAAAGCTCATTGTCTCTCTTTGAGTTGATTAAGAAGCGATAAACGTTATTCTTCAGTTGCTCAACGCAGTATAGGTATAAAATTATGCTGAACTATAATAAGTTAAAAAATAAAGTTTTCAAGAAGTCGGAAGCATCTTGTAGCCATGCGATCCACTGTTAGCATGAAAACCTTAATAATAACCAGGCCTGTAAAAGGACAACATTTGATAAAGCATTAAACAGACTAACTGGCGTAAAATGGAGAAACTTATTAACTTTGGTCTCCAAGTCACTGACTGGATAGCAATAACTTCCGGAAACAAGTCCAATGTAATCACGTAACTTCATAATACCATGTACAAGTAGAAATAAGGACTTTATCTACTTTAACGCAAGTTGATATGGGATTTGTGCTACTTTAAATAAATACTTAAATTTAGCTCTATGGTATAACACGCACCACTCTATTTTGCTTCCTGGTGATGGAGAATAGGAGGAAGAGACCTAGTGAAGAAATTTCATTCCCATGCCTACCTATGGTCATAAATCATGGACGATGACTGAAAATTGTGGTCGCCTCCTGAAATAGGCTTTCTGAAATGAATTTATGCATTCATGTGGCACGAAAGAGTCAGAGTTTCTCATGAGGTATCTGAGAAAGCTTTGGGGTCCAGTCGCTGTTCCACCAAATTGAGAAGTCACGGTT